CCGGGCGCGCCCGCGCAGCCCCCGCTCCCCGCCGGCGGCACCGACAGCCGCCTCCCTAATCCCGTCTCACACTGGTACGAGCACAGGGCCGGCAACGTGACGCGACCTGCTGCCACATCACTGCCGCCGGCGGCACCGGGCGGCCCTGCCCCGCCGCCGCCCCCCCGCCGCTGCGGGCGCTGGCACGCGGCGGCACCGGGCACCCCCCGGCCCGGGCAGCCTCCTAATCCCCCTCCCCTTGGGCCGGGCAGCCTGCCAGGACCCCCCCTCCGCGCTCCCCCCATCCAGCGGGAGGAGGGGGTGCCGCTGCCCGAGGGAATGGGATGCTCTTCCCCGCGCCCCGTGCAGCGGCGCTGTGTGTGCGTGTCCCCGCGGGTGCGTGTCCCCGCGTGTGTGTCCCCGCGTGTCCCCGCGTGTGCGCCGTGCCGTGCCGTGCCGTGCCCGCACGCCGGCGCGGCATGTGTGGCCCTGCAACGTGCGGGGTGTGCGGGGAGAGCAGCGGCCCCGGCCCCACGTGCGGTGCGGGGGGAGAGGACACCACCACCACCACCACCATCCCCCAGCAGAGCCGGGCTGCCGGGTTTCTCCTCGGTATTCCCGGCGGGAAGTGTCAGCTGAGGCGATCCATAGAGATGTGTTTATCCCACGCCGCCAGCCCTGACCGCGCTTGCCTTTCATTTGGTTCGGCTTCGCTCCCTCCCTCCTTGAGCTGCGTGACCCCCGAACCCCGGGATCCCGCAGCAGCTGGCGGAGGCGAGGGGGAAGGAGGCGGGAGAATCACCCCAATAAACAGATAACACGCCCCCGCCTGCCAAAAAAAGAGACAGGAACCTCTCATTATTGCTTGCTTTACAGGTAATCTGGCCAGGAGGGTAACTCGTGATTTTTGTATGCGGGGGGAGGGGGGGCTGCTTGAACCGCACTGGCCATATGTAAAGTGCGAATGAGGTTTTAGGAGCAGCGAAGGCTCTGATGAGGTGTTTGAGGCTCCTGCTTGGCAGGCAGCAAGCGGCACTGCGGGCTCCTACAGCTCTCTGCCTGTTGGCCTGATGGCATTTCCACGCTGTCCGTGCAGCTAAACTGGGGGCTAAACAGGAACAACGTACATGGGTGCCACGTGCCTATAGGTTATAGGGGTGCGGGTCAGAGGGAGAGGTTTGTGGGCTGCTACAGAGGCAGATGGGAGAATCTGCTGCTGGTGATGAAAGCAGATTGATACATTGGTTCATAGAAGCGTAGAATATCCTGAGTTGGAAGGAACCCACTCCTGGCCCTGCACAGGACACCCCAAGAATCCCAACATGCGCCTGAGAGCATTGTCCTAATGCTCCTTGAGCTCTGTCAGCCTTGGTGCTGTGCCCACTGCCCTGGGGAGCCTGTTCAATGCCCAACCATCCTCTGGGGGAAGAGCCTTTTCCTGAGATCCGACCTGACCCTGCCCTGACACAGCTTCAGGCCATTGCTTTGGATAAAGCTGGACTACACAGGGCTGGTCCCTTGGGAAGGGGGACCACGCTCTGCTCAGTGCCAGCATGAGCCATCAAGGATGCATTGGTTGCCCCAGGTCAGGCAATCCTGATGTGGGACATCTAAGATGAACCTATAGGCTGTCTTGCTAGTCAGCAGAGAGAAACAAGCACCATAGCGTGAAATTCCTCTCCTCCCAACTGGACTGGGAGAAACCATCCAGAAAAGTGGAGGCATAGCCCAAACAGAAGAAGGAAACCTAACCCTGAAATAAAGCACATGGAGACCTCCTGGGGGAGTGCTGACTCAAAGGGAGCTTGAACTCTGGAAGAAAAGCGTTCCCTCCAGCTGATTCCTCCCATGGGCAGGAAAGCAGAGCTTTGCATGGTTTCCATAAGGAACATGCAGGGTGGGGAGCAGGGGGTCAGCATTTCTGGAGCACCTCCGTGTGGAACACCTGGAGTATTTCTGGAGCATCTTTGCCAGCTTCGTCCTCTCTGGAACAACCTGCAAATCTTCAAGTTGTGGAAAGTATGTCCAGGGAGAGAGTCAGCTTCTAGGAGGAGAAGTCCTAACTCTGGGATTCCTCTGGAACCAAGTGGGAACGGAAATTGAAAATTACCAAAGATGCAAAACATGAGCCGAGACAGCTGGAGACTTTGCAAAGGGAGTTCAACATCTGGAAACTTCTAAGAGAGGTTTATAAGAGGTCACCTGCAGACAAGGATAAAAGGCTTCAGTGTCCAGAGAGAGTGCGAAATTCTCCTGGAAGATTCCCAGTTTAAAAGGGCAGGATGGATCAAAGAGGTGATCGGCGGCATGACTATCATGGAAAAAATAATGTTTTCCAGAGAATAAGAGGCACAACAAAAGCTTTGGCCCTTTTGCAAGCGAAGATTAACCACAGCAAAGAGTTAAGAAACTGAGAAAATCAGTCAGAAAAGGAAATAAAAGGCTTGCAGGTCACCGCAGGAAAAAACAGCCTCCTGCTGCAGCCGAGAGCCAGCCAGCACAACGCCTACCACCAGCACTCACCACCATTCCCAGTCTGCAGGAGGAAGGAATCAGACTGTTTGTCCCAGCTGAATCAGTGCTGGATGTTTGGGAGGTTTATCCAACTCAGTCTGTAACCACAGCGTGAGGGAACAGCTCTGAAATAGGGGCCTTGGAGCCGACTTGATGGGGTCAGCTCTTATGTCAGTGAGCACTTGCCTTCGGGAAAAGAGATTGAATTATCTGGGCTGGCTGTGTGACTGGAATCAACCATCAAATTAAAGCTGGTCGGCAGTGCGCAGCAAAGTGGGGGACAGAGACAATTCAGCTGAAGGATCGGGATCATTTTGGTTGAGCAACAAGGTATCCGACCAGGGGAAATTGGACATTGACCTATTAATAGATTTTTCAGTTACGGGGTGGCCAGATTGAGACCAGGGAAAAAGTAAAAGGAGAGTTTTTTATAAAACCTGAGCTGGGTCAGAGAAAAAGGTCCTGCTGTCCTGGAGAGCAGCAGGAGA